GCCAGATCTGCTAGAGGAAGAAATCAAGCCTTGCCTTTACATACAAACCGAGGTAAATAATTTCTTGATAAAATTTAACCGCTTTTCTTCATCCTTCAAGATGAAACGGGTGACAGCCTGGGTCCTGCGAGCTGCCGACAAGTTTCTACGATTACAGCGTAACTACGAAAATGACGATGAGGCCAGCCAAAGTTCAGCATCAACCGCATTTGAACTTGACAAAGCAGAGAAAAACATCGTCAAAGCAGTCCAGCATGAAGTCTACAAAGAAGAGGTAGCAGCACTAAGCAGGGACGAACAACTTCACAAACAAAGCAGTATTAGGACGCTTACGCCGTACCTTGACAGCGATCGTGTTATGAGGATTCAAGGGCGCTTAGACAAAGCCATGGTTTTGCCCATAGCGACAAGGAGACCGATTTTGATGCCGCCCAAACACATCGTCTCCGAGCTCATAATTCGCCAGTATCAAGAAAAGCAACACCACCAGAATTTCTCAGTAACGTTGTACGAAGCCCGCCAAAAGTTTTGGTTTACGCACGCCAGATCATTGTTAAAAACGGTACAACGTACTTGCGTAAAGTGCCGCATCGACAGAGCTAAACCGACACCGCCGCCGATGGGTCAGTTACCGGAGGATCGAGTCACCCCTTATGTCAGACCGTTCACGTACACGGGCGTAGATCTGTTTAGCCCATTTAACGTGACAATAGGTCGTCGACGTGAGAAGCGATGGGCAGTAATTTTCACGTGCCTTACTACAAGAGCGGCTCATTTGGAGCTTGCGAATGATTTGTCGACTGATGCGTTTTTGCTATGCCTGCGAAATTTTATTAACCGCCGTGGCACACCGATTAGAATACGAAGCGACAAAGGGACGAATTTTGTTGGCGCCCAACGAGAGCTGAAAGAGTCAGAGCGAATTTTGGATTTTCAGCGAATATCCGATGAGGTCACCAGGCGGAACATAGACTGGAAGTTTAATTGCCCTTCCAATCCGAGTTCAGGAGGTTGCTGGGTGAGCCTCATTCGCGTCGTTGAGAGATTGCTGCAGAATACACTGCGCGAAGAAGCACCGAGAGAAGACACACTGCGAAGTGTACTAATTGAAACCGAAAATATTTTGAACTCGAGGCCGCTGACTGAGGTGCCTTTGTTATCAGAGGAAGACGATCCCATAACTCCGAACCATTTTCTGGTTGGTTGTCCCAATTCAACGCAAACACCACAGCCAGTTGACCAAAAAATATGCCTCAGGAAACAGTGGCGTATCGCGCAAAATCTGAAGGACCGCGTGTGGAAGCAGTGGATACGGCATTATTTGCCGCAGTTACTCTTGCGCCACAAGTGGCACGACAAAGTTGAGGCGATTGAGATCGACGACTTGGTTCTCGTCTGCGACGATCTTCAACCGCGGAGCCAATCGAAGAAAGGCCGAGTCACTAAAGTATTTCCAGCCAAGGACGGGCAGATCCGTCTCGTCGAGGTCAGGACCGCTGGAGGAGTACTACGTCGCCCTGCAACAAGGCTTGCCATCCTGCGAATTAAAGGTGAATCCCTTACGTGATTCACGGTGGGGCGGGGTGTAATGGCACCCTGTCCATTTCATTTTAAATCGAAATCTAAACATATGGGCAACCTCGTCATCTGCCTTGTATAAAGGACAGCGATAGCGATGGGAGAGGCAGAGTTTTGACACAACAGCCAACGACAGAACAACACAATTTGGAAACGACGACGACGACGACAACGACGACCACAAAGGCGAACGACGAACGAAAAGAAACAAAGAGCACGGAACAATCCAGAATCTTTTTTTGCAATACAGCTATTTTTACCCTTTTATTAACTTTGTATATTCAACACATGTTACAAATAAATTGCAGTAACAACTGTGTAAGCGTGATCTTGCATCTACCTCCGATTGACGAGGTTGCTCGAGGCGTCCGTTATTACAGCAGTAAGACTCAAAGAAACCAATTCAAAAATATTAAGACGAATTGTAAAAGTGGCGAATTTACAAGAAAAGATTCGACCACATCTGTCCAAGAAGGAAGACGATAGGTATATCAATGGCTTCGTTTGAACGATATTCATGAGATCACATGACTCATTTAGCCAATGTACGCGAAAACTTTTCATCCTGTGGGGGCAGCGAGGATTCTTGGCCGTCCTATAATTGAAAACGCTCATCTGTGCTCTTGAGTTTCCGTATAAGGACTTTTATTGGCATACATGGTACACCGGACCAATGCTGAAGTTGCATAGAAGAATATTACGCACGCTTTTGCCTTTAAACGCTATTTTTGAATTGGCCAACGCAAAAGATCTTATTAGGCGCCGTGAAGCAAGCGGGCATTTGCTAGTAGTTAAATAAAGACTGTGAATTTGAAACACAGACGCAATTACATATGTGTTGAAAAAGTCACATTTAGATATGCAAATACATATCGTGTAA